AATTTATAATTTAATAATGATAATAATATAATAGATAATAATAATAAAATATAAGAATAAAATAAATAAAATAAAAATGCTAACTAAGTTAAAAATGCTAATGATGTTAATAATGTTGATCATTTGTCAATCTTTGTGATACAGTAAGATTAACTTCATATAGTATCAATGCATATGACTCCATCAAGTAACGCGTGAAGAAATATCCCCCACGCTTCATCCCTATCCATAATCACATCACATCCCTTGCATTTGTAAACTTTTCTCCTTCCAATATTTTGTATGTTTCCATATGCAGAACACGTTTTTAAGGTATAGGCTTCATTTTGTATGATCATTTTCATACCAGTCTCATCGGCTTTGTGTTTCAACCATTGTCAGAATAAGTAATGTGACCATGTTAATATACTTTGCATAGTTTTTGAATTGATTTTTCTTTTTTCTTGTTTCATCATGTTTGAAACATTAAATTCAAGTATAATAACAACATCATAATTTTTTGCAGGATAATTCACAATTTTCTTGTGTAATTCATTCCTCAGGTTTTGGATCCTTCTAAAAATTCTTGAGATTGCTTTATCAATTCTCTCAATCTTCTTTTTCTTTTTCTTAAAACTTGAGTTCTTAAGCTTGTTCCTATTAAACTTAGTTTGTTTGCATGCAAGCAAAGTCTCACCAACCTCTGTGATTCCTTTTGTAAGTGAATACATTACAAATGGAGTTCAAACTTCTAAATCGATAGCCACAAACCTCTTGTGTATTTCTTTTGATTTTTTTTTGTCTTTTATATACCCACAATAAGTTCCATTCATTAGTTTTTCTAAAATATGTGAGCTTACAATCATGATTGATCTGTTCTGATGCTCAACTGTTATTTTTTCTCTTGGTCTCAAAATGCAAAACTCCTAGATTTCTTGATCCTTCCAGGTGATCATATGGTTCTTTCTTGGTGTTCTCATATAATTAGTATTTTTGAATAGGTATAATATGTAAAATTTATTCCAATATTTTTTTGAGAAATTTTGTGCACGTATGGTGATGGTGTGCTTTAGGTTTTTCCTGGTCTTAAACTTCAATCTGGTTTTGTTATCTTTTGAATTGAAATTTTTAACAGCTTTATCCACAGTTTCATCAATTAAGTTATTTGACATATCATCATAGGCTTTCTTACTCCTCAATTTTAAATATGCGATCCTTCTTAGGAATTTTATATTTGGAAACTTTATCATCTTACATTTATTCTCATTTTTATCTACATGCACAATCAAAAACCGTCTTTTCTGCAGATAGCCAATGATTGTATTATTATACGTTTTTGTGCAAGGTTTGGGTACAATTTCACTTTCAATATTCTATTCACATTTTCATCCTTTTTTCTTCTTTTGTTTTTTCTCACTGTTAATATTTACTTTCTTTTCTTTTCTTTTCCTTTCCTTCTGTGTTTGGCTGCTCTTCTATAGATGAAGACGGTGTTGATTGTAAGAATATCTTGGGAAAGTTCATGTTCGTCGGAGGTCGTGTTGTCGAAGAGAACTACAAGTTTTGTAATATGGAATACTGGATGAGGTCGAAGGCAAACTGGCAGAGTCAATCATAGTGGGTAACCACAATTTCCAAGACCATTCCACGACTTGTCCATTCCAATAAGGTCTTAAGTCCTGGTCATTTGAAGTTGACACCTGAGCCGAGTTCATAGGTTGGGAACCAGAAGCTGAGGAGTTACTTCTGCCACTCAAGGTCCTCTTTTTGCTTGACACTAGAGACCCGAGCATAGAGGAATCCTTTTTTGGTGGCGGTGGAGGAGGTGGTGGAATCCACAATATTTGAGACATCATAAAGTCGCACACCACCTGGTGAACGAAATGCTGTTATTTTACTGTTGCAGTGCCAGCGACAAAGTGTACACAAGGAAACACCAAGGATGGAAGAAGCCTGAGTGGCAGTAACGAACATTAAATATAAAAAAAAAAAAAACTTTAACATTTTGCGAAAGGTTAAGCTTTTTGAAAGTTTATTTGCGAATGGAATGCAATAACATTAAGAAAATTTTCAATCCCATTCGTAACCAGTAACACATAAGGGGAATTAAAAAAAAAAATTTTTTTACTATCGAACAAATTCTGTCCCAGAATACATAAAAAAAAAGATTAAAACAGAGTTTTGTAAAAGGCAGTTACGATTTTTGAGTCCTATATGATTTTCATTGATAACGATATTACGATAAGCAATACTAAGCAATTATTGGCAACTGTATTAATAAGCAAAAATTTGCTACGGTATTTAAATACATATCTTTAATCCGTTTGACCAGAAATCAAGTTAGGTTAAAAACATTAAGAGTTCGTGCGATGCAAAATCATTTCACGTGTTTGAATTTCATTAGCATATGTTTATGATCTCGGAAAATTGAATTGGTTAATTAGTTATGAGCTAATTTATAGTTACGTCAGTTGATAACTTTGATCAATCTAGATCTAATTGCGTAATATTTATGTAAATTCTATAAATCGCCATCAAATTTTGAAATGCATTTTACAAGATCGTCAATCATCTCTTTCCCAAATTTTTATTTTCTCTTAATTTAAAAATTTGCCATAGAAATGAGTTTACTTCTACCTTTATTCTTGCGAAAATCATCTCATCATTATCAATCAATACCAGAAAGCAATCAACATATAGAACATCACTTTGAATCGCCTGAAATTATTAGAGATATTGTTCTTGGATTAAGTGATGGATTAACTGCAAGTTATTTTAAATAAGCTCCTAAAATGTACAAATTGTTGGTTAGAGTCTTGAAAATTTTGATTATTTATTTACATTTTTCTTTATTCGTATTTGGGGGATTTTCTTTATTAGGTACCATTTGCTTTGGCAGCTGGATTATCTTCTTTGGGAGATCCTCGTGTCGTTATTATTGGAGGTTTTGCTGGTACGTTATTATCTTTGGAAGTTATATTTCCGCATTTACTTATTTCCGTAATTAAGATTCGTTTAAATCTTTTTTAAATTAGAACTTATTTCCGGCTCGATTTCAATGGGATGTGGTGGATATTTGGCAGCGAAATCTGATTTAGATCATTATGATACCGAAAGACGTCGGGAAGAATGGTATTGTTTATTTAATTTCAAAAAATATCATTTTTAAAAAAATAATTGATATTCAATGAAGAATAATTTCAGGGAGGTGAAAAACTGTTTAAGTGCCGAAATTCAGGAAATTGTAGGTTTGTACATGTATTTATATATCCTTGCCGATTTTATTTATTTTATCCTTTTTTTCCTAGTATAGAAAAAAAGAGCTTTTAATTAAGGATTTTTATAAATGCGTAAATAGATATATTGTCACCGTATGGGTTGGATGAAGAAACTGTGGCTCCAATTATTGAGAAATTAAAAGATAATCCTGAAAAATTCGTTGATTTTATGATGAAATTCGAATTGAATCTTGAAAGACCCGATCCTTCTCGTTCTTTGGTGATTATTTATATCTGTTTGCCTTCTACCAAAAAAAATTATTAATTTTTTTTTTTATTTTTACTTTATCACAGAAAAGTGCGTTTACGATTGGAATATCCTATTTTATTGGCGGTCTTGTTCCTCTAATACCATACTTCTTTATGGAAGATACAACTTTAGCTTTATTAGTTAGTAGCGTTATTACAATATTTTGCTTAATTGTATTTGGGTTCGTTAAGGCTGCATACACATCACCAAATAATGCAATATCAAGTGCAATACAAACCGCGCTTGTAGGTGCTTTAGCAGCGGCAGCTTCTTATGGGGGTGTAAAGTTAGTCGAAGGTTTGTAAATATATTTAAGGGTTAGCTTTTTTTATATTTCGTCTTCAGACGTGTTAACCAGAAGGATTTTTTTTCCTTTTCTTTTCTCTGTTTTTTTTTTTTTTTTTTACACATATATAGTATTAAGAGATTAATTGTATCATTCAAATTATATTTTTATCAAGTGCATTAATTATAATTAAAGAAACAAATGCATTTGAAAGCATAATTTGTATTTTAATTAATTTACTACCACAATTAAACAATTTGCTGCGCGGATTACTTTGGCAAATTTATTTTGTCGATCTAAAGCCTAATTTATTTATATTTTTTTTTTAAAAAAAAAAAACTTCCCAATTGATTAAATAATAAATAACTTGCAAAATATTTCGTATTAATATCGCTTTATTTATTTCAATAATAAAGTAGTTGTTTTGGTTGATTTAATAAAATAAATTAATAATTAGTATTGTTATAAAATGGCAACTCCAACAGATATTCCAATTATAAAATCCAAAATAATTAAAGATGAAACGTATCATGAAAATTATAAAGAAATGCTTTCAATGATTTCTACATTAAATGATCGATTGGCTCAAGCAACAAAACAAGGCAGCAAAAAAGCAATAGTACAACATTTAAAAAGGGGACAATTATTAATTCGTGATAGAATTGATCTTTTATTAGATGAAGATTCGCCTTTCTTGGAATTATGTCCATTTGCAGGATGGGGTCAAGATGAAATGACACTAGGTGGATCAATAGTAGCAGGTATCGGATTAGTAAATGGAGTGGAATGTATGATATCAGGAAATGTACCAACATTATTTGGAGGATCCTCAAATGAGATTAGCGTTGCAAAAGGGGAAAGGATAGCAGCAATTTCAATAGAAAATAATTTGCCATTTATACAATTAATTCAAACAGGAGGAGCAAAATTAGATCAACAATCAAGAGTATTTCATCCGGGTGGTGGACAATTTCGTATGTTGTCCCAGAGGACGAAATTGAATTTACCAACTTGTAGCGTAGTATTTGGTAGCAGTACGGCAGGTGGAGCTTATGCTCCTAGTTTAAGCGATTATGTTATTATGGTAAAAAATCAAGCTCAAGTATTTCTCGGAGGACCTCCTCTTGTACAAATGGCAACTGGTGAAATAGTTGATGCTGAAAGTTTAGGTGGTGCTGATATGCACAGCAGGAAATCAGGTGTAAGTGATCAATTAGCTTTAGATGAATATGATGCTATTAAGAAAGCGAGAGAATTTATTGGAAGATTGAAATGGCAAAAGAAAGGGAAGGTTCCCGCTACTCATCTTTTCCCTAGGATCGAAGAACCTTTGTATGATGCCGGTAGGCACATTTTGAGAATTAGTAATTTTTTTTTTTTTTTTTTTGAAATAAAAAAATTGATAGGTTGTGTATATTTTATTAAAGATGAATTGCTAGGATTTGTTTCTGCAAATATTAAAGTTCCTTTTGATGCTATTGAGGTGATTGCTCGCATAGTTGATGGCTCAAGATTTACAACTTTTAAACCGCTATATGGTCCGAATATTATTACGGGATGGGCCTACGTTCATGGTAAATTTTACGAGATACTGGAAAGAGATTATTCTAATTTAAATTTGTATTCAATATTTTTCATACGTGCGTATGATTTTCAGGGTTTCAAGTGGGCTTGATTGCGAATAATAATGTTATATTTACACAAGAAGCTAATAAAGCTACACAATTTATTAGATTATGTAATATGATGTAAGTCAATACCTTAAAAAAAGAAAAGACAAAAAAAAATCTAAATCGTGTTTCAAATTTATGATTTAGGAATGTACCACTTCTTTTTCTTCAAAATACTACAGGATTTATGGTAGGGAAAAAATATGAAGAAGAAGGTATTATAAAAGCTGGAGTACATTTTGTTAATGCTGTAAGTAATAGTGAAGTACCAGCTATCACAATTATGATGGGTGCTTCTTATGGTGCTGGTAATTATGCAATGTGTGGTAGAGCTTACAATCCGAGGTAATGAAAATTTAAAGTATGACCCAATTTAAATATAATAATTTAAATTTTTCAATTTTTGTTTTATTCTATTTTCTATAGGTTTCTATTTTCGTGGCCAAATAGTAAATGTTCCGTTATGGGACCTGATCAATTAACTGGTGTTATGGATATTATCATGAGAGAATCTTCTTCTAGGTAATAATAATTTATAAGGTATTAATTTAATTTAATTTATAATTTATAACATATAATTTGTATTAGATCAGGTAAACCAATTGATGAAGAATCAGCGGCAGCAAGAAAAGAAATTTTTCGGTCAATGGTAGAAAATGAGTCTGATGCTTATTGGACAAGTTCAAGATTATTAGATGATGGCATAATTGATCCTAGAATGACTAGAGTTATTTTAGGATTTTGTTTGAGTATTATTTATAATGAACAAGTCAAAGGTGGTGGTTTAGGTGGTGTAAGTAGAATGTAATATATATAATATAAAATTGAGCTGGAATATTATTTAGAAAAAAAAAACACCCTATACGTCGAGTTGATCGAAAGACGATGCTAAAATATTTTAAGAATCGACCTTGACTTGTTTTCGAATTTTATACAAAAATCAAAAAGGTCAAAAATCATCAATAGTATTTATCTTTATCATCACACTAATACTGATTTTGATGTTCTTGTTTGCAATCTTGTCATTTGGAAAAAGATCAATCATAATAAACCAATTAACTGATAATTTTACTTTAACTGATAAAATTATTCATTATTCCTTAAATTAATCTCTTATTTACTTCAAATATTTATTTTTCTTTCATCTACAATTATATTAACCTTTTTTAATATTAATTATAATTGATTTTATTTTTTTTAATAAACCTTAAATTTTTAAAAATTATTACAAAAGTAAATAATTCCTTTAATATAATAATAAAATTATTAAAAATTTAAAAGTTTATTTTTAAAAATAAATATAGAATATTAATTTAGTTTTGAAGTTGTTTATGAATTATAAGTAATTAAATGATATAAGATGATAAAAAAGATTAAATTTTATTTAAAGTTAGGTAAATTATTAATAATAATTAATACATAAATGTTTTCAGTAAATCAAATCAAATTATCTTATTTATATAATAATTATTATATAAAATTATTAAAGAAATAAAAAAATAAAAAAATATAAAAATAAAATAAATAATTATAATAAAAATGTCATAAAAATATAAATAACATATAATAAATATAAAACTTGTATCATTTTTATTATTTATTATTTTTTTATTATATTAAAATTAATTTTATTTATTTAATAAATAAAAACAAATTATATTAAATAATAATAAATCAAATTTAATAATTTATTATTATTAATCTTCTTTAAATATATATTTAAAAAAAACTTTTTATATAATATTTATATATTTATATATATTTTAAAAATATAATTATATCATAAATAAAATAAATTTTAATTTTATATTAAGATATTATTAATGATAATACTTATAAATTACAACAGTTAGATAAGATATATAAGAGAATTAACTCCTTCAAAATTTATATAATAAATCATATAATTAGATTTTTAATATAAAGTATTTTCAAAGTATTAAATACTTTTTGATTAAAATTTATATAAAATACAAATTAAAATAATATAATTTATTAAAATAATAAATAAAAAATCAATAAAATAAAATAAGAAAAAAATTAGAGATAATTATTTATAAGATAAAAGAAATATTTATTTATTAAAATATAAAAAATGTATATAATTATAAGATGATTCTAATTATTAATATTTTTTATTTGTAAAGTTACTCTATTTATATAAAATTATTTTATTACATCTAACTAATTATTAAGCTATAAATCTTTAATAATAATTGTAATAAATAAATTAATAAATGAAAACTTTACTTAAATTTATTTTTTTATTAAAAATATTAAATTGAAAAGATAAGATATATTCTTTATTAAAAATATTTAATTAAATAAAAAATAAATTTTATATATTTTTTTAAGACTTTGTTAGCTGATTAAATATTTTTCTAAAAGTATTATAATTTTTTAAAATTAAAAATTTTGATTAAAGTATTTTTTTATTTATATTTTAAATTAATATTATTTATTTATTATTATTTATAAAATAATTACTTTATTAAATTTATTAATTAATTTTTAAATTTAAATTTATTTTTATATAGAAAAATTTTTATTTATACTTAATAGGTATATATTCTATCTATTATCATATAATAATATTGTTAAAAAATTTAATATTTTATTATTTATTTATTATATAATAGCTATTGTATTTTAATCTAAGTTAGTATGAATATCTTTTAGCATAGTAACTTATTCATTTGTATTTATTATATTTTCAGTTATATATATTTATAATTACTTAATCACTTTTATTATTATTAATTATATTAATTCATTCACATAACACTTTGGATTAAACTATTTGAACATTAAATTATATTTTTGAAGACCTTCCTTTATATTTTATAATTATACAATTATTAACTTTTATATTTATAGAAGTTCTATATTTAAATGATTCTATTTTTGATTTAATATTTATAATAAATCCTTTCAAAAGCTCATCAAGTTCTTAACATATATTATTTTTAATTGTTAAATCAATAATTTTTTTGAAAATCTGAATATTTATATATATAAAACTTTAAATTTTTTTAGAAATATTATTATAAGATCTATCATTTTGATTATTTTGAGTTAATAATAAATAATTTAAAGTAACTTATTATATTGATAAAATAATTGTATTATTAGTAGTATTTAAAATTTGAATAAGTATAATTTGACGAAGAAAATTATTTTTAAAATATTTGGATTTATATACCAATATAATATAAATATTATTATACTCAAATAAGTTCGAATATAAAAAAAATGATGATAAACAATACTTTTATTAATTAATATTATACATGTATAAAAGTGTAAACTATTATTAAGTTAGTTATATATAAACTTTATTTGGCTAAAAAATTATATTATATAATTATAACACTAAAACGAGCATTTAAGTTTTAAATTTTTATTATTAAAATTCTATTAATAGATTTAAGATATAGATATTTTATTGAATCATCAACTGAATTTATAAGATTAATAATATATTTAGTTTATTTTTTTTAATATTTCATTATATTTATAGTTTCAGTCATAATTTGTAAAAGCTGTATTTTATATTATTAAAGATTTTTTTGATTGTTACCATTTTCATAACAAATCTTTATTTTTAACCAATAGTAATAAGTAAAAAATAAAAATAAAAATTTTATTTAATTATTTTTATTTTTTTATATTTCTTAATAAATAATGGTATTTTTTATATTAGGAAGTGAAATAAAATAATTTTTAAAATAACCTTTAAAATTATATCAAATCCATCTATTATTATAACAAATTGCTTCATTTTCTTTAAATAAACAATTTACAATTTTTTTTATATTAGTTATTATATTAATTCTCTTATCTCTATATATCTTTTTAATATGTCTAAAAAATGCATTACAAATAAATTTTATATGATCTGGAATTATAAAATTTACAATAATATATTTATACCATTCTAACATAATTAACTATATTTAAAACCAAAGGTTATTTTTATTTTGTGTTGCATAATTATCATAAGTAATTTTTAAATATTTTTTTTTATACGCGTAAATTTTTGAAAGGTATTATATACTATATTTAAAATTATGTTAGCATCTTTTGTATCCTTTTAGAAAATTTATCTTTTGCAATTAAATAATTTAATTGATAATTATGATTACCTTCAATTTTATATATACTAAATAAATAAATAAAAAATATATTTTTAAAATAAAGAGCTTTAATTTGTTATGAAGAATATGAAATTAATACATTTATGTTCAATTATAACAAATATATACTATTGTTTTATTATTTTTACTTTTATTAATATTTTTATTATAATGTTCACATTTAAGATTTGTTGCTTTATAATATGTTTTATATTGAATTTTAATTTTATTATGTTCATCTATATTATGTTTTGCTATTTTTAATTTTATTTTAAGAATTTTATAAGATTCATATAAGTCACTTGTTGATATTTAAAATTTAATATTTAGTATCAATTCATGCTAAAGTTTTATAAAAATATTATAAGAAATAATTGTTTGATTATGATTATATTCAATATTATTAATATATTTTTCATAAATAGATATGTATGTTTTTTCAATAGATAAATAAATAAAATACCTGAATCATTTTGATGACGTAAAGAAGATGGTAAATTATAAATACTAGGTAATGGTAACTGTTGGAGTGTCCGAAGCATAATTCAATTTATAAAATTTATAGTAAAATAAAATCTTTAACTATATTACAATTATGTGATACAATAAAAAAATAAAAATTATAGTAAAATGTAACACTAACTACAAAAATGTAACAAT